CTTGGGTGATGCACCTGCTCGTGCCTATTTGAAGTGTATAAAAGGTTGTACCTCACATGATGGATGTGAAAGATGTGGTCAAGAAGGAGGTTATGATGGCTTGATCGTTTATTATTCTACCAAAATTGGGATAGAAAGAACTGATGAGTCATTTGATAGTCGAAGAGACCCAGAACATCACACAGGAAATTCTCCCCTTATTGAACTGCAAACAAAATTTATTTCACAATTTCCTATGGATAGTTTAATGTCCTGCATTTATGAAAACTTAGCAACACATCAATATAACTTTTTGCTAATAACTTTTTTTTCTGTACAGGTATCCCATTTTAGTGTTGTAGCTGGGAGAGAGATACACGAAGGAGAAATGGCTACTAGTATATGTAAGAAGATTTTCTCTCCTGAGGTTGCATCACAACTGAATTGGACAGGGACAGAGATAAAAAAAGGAATCAAGTCACTAAAGTGCGGTACGTGCATTATTGGTAAGTTATTGAAAATTCTGAGAAAAAAACATGAAATTCTTACTTTCAGTCCTGCTGTGTCTTAAGGAGAGAGCCTCATGTAAAATGATTAAACAAGTAGGTTTAAAGACAATGGTATTTAGTTATCTACATGCATGCCAAAGGGCAAGCATTGGTCGAATAGTTTATCAGTAATCTTGCACGCCAATTTGAAAAACATGGTTTTGAGAAAAACGCGTTTAAAGTTTCAAGTTCTCGGAGCACGCGCTTTACTTGCGTAACGCAGGTATAAAATCGCCTCTTTCAAGTTTGAATTTCGCTCTGGAACTTTCGGAACATATTCTAGAGCTATTATACTATAATGATTTGTGCAATAAAATTTTTTCGATTTTTTTTACTGGTTACATGAGGCTCCCCTCTTAAAATACACTTGATTTACTTTTAATAAATATGATGATTAACTTATCAACTTAAATCCTGTATTTAGTATTTCTCATGCATAATATTGTAATTTTTTAAATCTTTTTTCAGATGCATGTGGCAAACAATATAAAGGAAATTTTTCGAGATCAAAAGTCACAGGCTCCATAAGTACGTGGCTTCGAAGTAATTCAAAGAGGAGAGCCATAAATAATGTTGATTTGCCAAGATAATAAAGATTTTTCAAAGGTTGATTACCTCCCCTATAGGTACAGATACTTTTTTATGTTTTTTGCAATGTCAAAATAGAGGTTGTCAAAGGAAAATATATGAAATTATATAACTAACAGGTATAAATGTAAAAATTTGTTTTACAGGTGACAAGAGCAGGTAACAACGAAAGCGGGACTATATACACGAGTGGTTATAACCAAGATGAGTCGATATTCGCACGGCTATCCGTAAATGCAGCGCAGAAGCATT